TTAAAAAAACTTTCTTTGAAACATTTAAGATTTTGAAAGATATTTTGGAAAACTCCCCCTTAAACAATGCATGGCAAAACTCTCCCTCAATTTGTGCATCCTAATCTAATGACAAAACTCCCCTCAATTTATGCATCCTAATCCAACACAACTTATCAAACATTTGCTAGTCAAATATATGAAATAAGCACAATCAAACATATGCATGTCAAGCACAAGCAAATTTGTCTATATGATATTTCTCTTTTTTGTCATAGCCAAAAGGCATGAGCATATTAATGAGTAAATAAACACAAAGAGGCATCATTAAGAAATATATTCATGAAACATTTCTCCTCTTCTTTTTGTTTATGCTCTTTATACAAAATATTTAAACTCTTATATTAATTGCAATAAGCATACAGGAAGAAATATCTCTAAACTCTCTTCCTTTTTGTCATTTCAAAAAAAAAAGAGATCAATTCAAGGCATAAGACAAAAAGCTTGATACCAATAGTATCAATAGTATTTTAAATGCATGTAATCAAGTATAATAACACAATGAAGTTCACATACATGTATTCAAGCATAAAAGCATAAGTGTATCCAATTTTAGCATTTTAGCACAAAATCATTCATTCAACCTAACTACATGAAATTTATGAGCAAATGATAATGAATGATATGTAATCTACTCATAAATCATGTTAGGATAAGATGTGCTTAGAACCTAAAACATCAATAACAATTAAGCATAAGTTTAAGCATATGCATACAAGCTCATACCAATTGTTAAGGATACCAATTGTTAAAGATATGTCATCAAAAAGCATACCAATTGTTATCGCAAAATAAATCAAGCAAAATTGTATTCTAATATTGCTTCTCATTTCAAAATAATGATTAATTAATTTAAGGCACATACAATTTTACATGAAAGGTATAAGCTATATTAAGGATAGGCACATAAACAAGTGTCTATAAAAGTTAAAAAAAATTCTTTAGTAATTTTGATACCAATTGTTACCAATTGTTAGCAATTTTATTCAACAACTTTCATAGAGCACACATATTCGAAGCATATGAAAGATTCATTCAATACATGCATAAATGATAGTAGTAATCTTTCATAAGCTATCTTATCCAAACAAGAACCAAAAGCTCATATGTATATAATAAATCATAAGTACTAATGAGCAATGAGGTTCAATTTTCATCATGCCATAACAAAGATTATATAAGCATGATTCTTCAAACATGATGAGCACATATGCTATAGCAAAGAAGAAAGCATAATTATTCAATTATAATCCAAATTATTTCAATGCAAAGCAAAGTACTTAACTCAAACATATGCAAGTATTCAATCATATATTTTAATTAAAATCATACAAGCATATGCAAAATACATAAGCAATATACCTAATTGAAAAAATATGCAAGCATTTAGGCATAATTTTGTACTTGCCATCTCAATGATCTTAATCAATGAACATGTATATAAAATTTCAAAATTGTAAGTTCATAATCCATGAGTCAAGGCAATTGAAAAATAAAAAAATCAATATATTCAACTCATATCTATGTCCAAAGATTCAAACAAATATTCATGCAATAAAAACTATTAATCGAAGCAATCAAGAACTAGGCATGAATATTAATGAAGGTGAATTAATCAATCCAAGCTTTAAAAAAATATTAAGACAATATCTACCAAGTGGCTTGGTGATTAATTTGTGCAATGTGTTCATATATTCAACCACAAAATCATATATTTGCACATATTAAAGCAAACATGTATATGTATTCAAACTCATACATCATATCATAAAGTTGATGTATTTACCTCCATCCATGTCAAGCTTTGTTGTTGTGCTCATTTGGCTTTGAATTTTCCAATCCACTTCATTTGAGCAAAACTAGGCTTGATTGATGAGGATAACATGCTTTGCTTGCTATACTTAAAATTTTAAAAATGTAGGCTCATTCATGCTCATTTCAAGTTTTCCTAGCATAGACTTAAAAAAATTTCTTGACAAAGGATTTTTATTAGAAGCATCAAGAAAATCAATTGATAAAAATTATACCAATTGATAGAAAAAAATTTCATATTCTAAGTCATTATAGGCAAAAGAAATTTTATTTACTAAGCATAAGTTACCAATTGCAAGAGAGATATATACTTAAGCTAGAGGTCATATATTAATTTAAACATCAAATAGCACAAGAATGGCACTAAAGCAAAAGTTCTCATGTAATGTGCAAAAATCAAACATTTTAGATCATTCATGAACACAAAATAGACATATTTAATATTCATGTATATTCAAGAACTCACCAAAGAATATGTCAAAATAAATTTTAGGCCATATGAAAAAAAAAACTCAAGGAAGACATATTCAAGAAAATTTTAGCATAAAAGCATAAATATGTCTACACAAATTATAAGCCATAATCAACAATGACTTAAGCTAAAAATAAACATCATAAGAAAATCACTCACTTAAGTCATGTTGCAAGCATGTCAAGTAAAGATAAATTATATTTACCATATATGCATACACTTGATAAGAACAATAGATGAACTAACACATATATCATTAAACACAATTAGTTCATCAATACTTAATCCCAAACTAAAAGATAAGTCAATTAAGCACAAGTTTCAAAATATTTCACAAAATTAATGAATCAATTTAGCACAAGAGCAAGTATATTTAAAAATAATTTAAAAATCAAAAGATAAAAAATTTAAGTATTTTGAAATCATAAGCATTAAGGTCAAGTTGAACCAATCATCATATGAGCACATATCTTGACTAAAAACATAGATGAACAAAGAATCAATATATATCACTTAAGCACAACGTGTTCATCAATTCATCAACCCAAGAGAAGAAATAAATCTTGAATTAATAAGGACAAAGAATTAAATCATATTTCAAGATTATTTCATAAGAAGTCAAGAGATGAACAATCAAACATCAATATATGTGATTTAAGCACAAGATGTTCATCAATTTCTAAAATCACAAATCAAGAGTCAAAATAATTGATAATATAATACTCAAGTTTAAATAATATTTCAAAAAATCCAAGCACCATAAACAAGTTGAGCAATTTTTAAACATCATAGTCATTCATGCTAAAATCATTCAAACAAATATATTTATACAAAATAAATGCATGTTCAATTCATGCTTACATATGTCAAATAAAATTGGTATATTCAAGATATATCAACAAAGCATATATCGATATCCACTAAGCATTCTATGTCTAACAAGGATAGGCAACCAAATTTTACATAAACAATCAAGCATTTAAATTCCATCAAGAATAGGTAACCAAATTCAAATTTTCTTTAAATAAAAGTTTATAGGTTACCCATATCCATTGTGTGTCTAGAGTATTTAATCTTCAATCTCACATTGTAGCTCCTTACTCTAGTACACCTGCAAGAGACAATCTCATTTGATTTTTGATATCTAAATTACTTTGGGTCCTTTAGAATTAATGACCAAGTCTCTTGTTCCTTTATGAACTCATACTTGTCTAATTCTAAATGAAACTTTTCTTCTAATAGGACAAGTATATATAGTATGATCATGAAAATTACAAAAATTGCATTTAATTATTTTATTACTAATGAACTTTTTAAAGGTTTTTGTTTTTCATTCATCAATTCATTAAATTTCTTTTTGTTAAAAGATAAAAATTTGACAAGTGGCATAGCTTTGATAGAAAAAGAGGAAAAAGAAAAAAAACATGTGGCGTAATTTTGATATTATGTGGATCACACATAAAAAATTAAATTCTTATAAATATTAATAAAGGAAAAAAGAATAAAAAAAAAGATGTCAATGGCTTGAAATATGGTATACATTTGATATTAAGTAGAATATATTTATTAAATATATTAAAAAAAGAAAAAAAAAACAATACATGGCATACCCAAAAAAATCAAATTAAAATTTTAAAAAATATTTATTAATTTTTTTAGAAAAGAATAACAAAAAGGTAAAAAAGAAAAAAAAAAAGCTTGTCACAAAATGGGTCCAACCTTAAAAAGTTAAATCTTTGAAAAATATTTATTAAATATTAAAAAATTAAGATAATAAAAAAACCTAAAAATTAAAATGTCAAAAGTATTTATTATTTTTTAAAAAAGAAAACAAAAATAGTAAAAAAAAGAAAAGGCAAAAGTTTAATGTAAAGTGGATCCCACTTAAAAAATTTAAATTATCTACAAAATTTATTAAATATTAAAAAAAATTAAAAATATATATAATATAAAAAGGCGAGAAAATGAGTAATGAGGAAGCGCCATTTGACACCTCTTTGCGTTGTCCGTGCATCGAATTAAAAAAAATAAAAAAATATTTTAAATAATCATATTAAATGAATATCATATTAATGAAGTGTTAAAGTATTTAAAAAAATATTAATTAAAAATTTAAAAAGTATATAACAAAAAAAAGTGAAAAAATATTCAAATGATTTAACATATATTATAATCTTGATATCAAATGGATCTAAACAATATAAATTTTTTTTATTAAAATATAAATAAAAGATAAAAAATACGTGACATAATATTTGTATCAATCGTGTAAAAAAATTTAAAATTTTTTATTAAAAATTTTTTAAATAAAAAAGTAAAAAGGATGAAAAAAAAAACAAAAAAAATTAATTTTAGTGGATCCAAAAACTAAGAAATACAATTTTTAAAAATATATATTTTTATTTATAATTTTAAAAAATTACTAAATGTTAAAAAATAAAAAAGGTCAAAAAAAAGAAAAGACAAAAGAAAATTTGATTTAAGAGGATTCATAAATAAAAAATAAAATCTTTAAAAAATATTTTTTTATAATTTTAAAAATATTTATTAAATATATATAAAAAAAGACAAAAATAAAAAAAAATGCATGAAAAGGACATGAGTAAAATTTATTGTTAGTATGTAATGTTTGGTTATATTTTAAGTTATTTACATTTTAACCCCAGCAGGGATTTTCACTTCGCTTGGATATTCTCCAACTCCAACGGACTGTTTGTTTGTTTGTTTTGTTTTTTGTTTTTTGTTTTTTTTTGCAACAAAACTCAGAAATGGAAAAGCAGGGTTCAAATGATGACAACGCCACCATTAGCGACGTTTCACTCGAAGTAAATCCTTCGAGTTCTTCAAACAATCCACCACAAAACCCAGACTCTCAATCCAACAACGATCTCGGCAACGGCAACAGCAACAGCAACTGCAACAGCACCATCACCGAAGCTTTAGCCAAAGCCTTATCCTCGATGCTTACTTCTCTCATCAAAGACTTCGATTGCAAAGCCCACGATACTCTCGCCAGCCAGGACCTCCTTAGTTCCTCAATTGATCGTCTTACCCGAGGTAAATTCCCCCTTTGTTCTTTTATTTTTTTGGGGTTCAATTGAATATTAGTATGAGACGAAATTGTTACTAATGTTGTTGATGAACAGAGCTTGATCAATTACTGGAAGATGCTCCGTTGCCATTCATAATGCAGCATGCTGCCAAGTTTTCAAATGTCAGAAAGAGAGTTTTGTCATTGAATTTACTCCTGAAATCGATTCAGCGGCGTGTTGATAATATAGACCGAATGCTATCAGGGGGCTCGCAACATGGTAACTAACATTTTTCCCACTTTCTTCGTTTGTTTATTTAAAATCTTTGATGTTTTCCCAATAGTCTGACCATTTCCATTTTTGAGGAATAACTATATTTAGTGAGACAGGGAAATGGCCCCATGGTAGAGGGTTTTGAAATGAGCAATTTTTTTTTTTTTTTGGTACAGAATTTTAGATTTGTATCATAGTTAGGCATGATACTTATTCTAGTACTTGATAAATTTTGGGAATGGTGGAAATTTTGGTGCATGATTTAAAGATTAATTGTGAGTGGCGGAAGAGCGTCCTTATTAGGTTTTTGCATACTCAATCTCACAACTAAGCTTTGAATCGTTGGAGATGAGCAAAATTAAGGCTTGGGACTCCAGCCTTGCAAACAGCATGCTCCCACCTCTCCCTTCGGCTTGGAGAAGCAGACCACAATGAGTTAAAAGCATACATTCTATCTTAAAGCTCTACATTAGGTTGCTACAGCTCTTGCATGATTCAAATGCAATTGGGATACAAAACTGACATCACTACAGCCAAAGTCTTGTTTACTTATAATGTCCTCTTGAATCACCTCCCTCATGCTCTTGAATAGCTTGCTTACACAACTTTAGAATAATTAGACCTCATGTATGGCTATAGGGTGCACCAGATTTATGCTTCTGTATGAGAACTGTTCTAGAAAGTGCTCCAAGGAACATATGGGCTGAATTTACTTTCTTCAGATATCAAAGTACTTCATGATGCAACACCTCAGAATCTCGATCCAACAGAATATTGCTAATGTGAAGGGCTTAAACTAAAGAATCAAACACCATATTATAGGTCACATCTCACATTTATCGTTTTGCATCAGTCAATTTATATTAGAAAGAGCCATGTAGTCTCCGATCTTGGCCAAGAACAGCTACTATCCTCACATGGAAGCATCACATTCCACTGGAAAGAGCTTTTCAAAATCCTGCACACTAGGACTAGTGCTTTATTCATGGTTGTCTTGATCTGTTTTAAAGCCTTTTCTGCTTCTTCAGTCCAAAAAATGACTTTGTCCGTGTTGTGGGACTCATTACAGTGCTAAAGTTGGAAATAAGTCTTTTGTAAAATGAAGCTGGTCCATTGAAACTACAAACGTCTCACGTGATCTGAGGTGTAGGCCACTCAGTTATATCTTTAACTTTGTGGGGAACCTTTAATTAAACCTTTAGCTTGCCTAGGGTTACCTAGACCATCTACAAACTCTCTGAAAAGAAACCGATTTCTTCAACTCTGGACTTTGAGTTATCCGGAAGATAACCTCTCATTGATGGTCTAAGAAATCAACTATTTCCTAAAAGTGTGTTTGACATAGGGAGGCTAACTCTGCTGAATCCTGAGGGAAAATATACTATTTTAGTTAACTTCATAAGCTCTCTACCTCATTCTTTGGAAAATTCTTTGTTAACTCTAACAATTCAACTCAAATTCAAAAATACTTCAAAATTGTAACTTCTATCCTTTTTTTCTTTTTTTTTGGCCAGATGTAACTTCTATCCTTCAAACAAGGGAAATACTCAAGTATTTAACAGTTTCTTCATTGTTGCTAATATTAATCATTAAGCAGTATCCTCAATAGTGTATATAAGCTCCATAAAAACACCTAAAATAAGCAGATTGTAGATAGGATAAACTCTATACAAAAGTTGAGGTCCAAACAGAATATGCAAGTCCAAACAGGACAGGTATGTTTTCTAACCTCCACCTTAAAAAATGTGTCCAAAAGTTCAATTTTGGTCCTTGCTCTGGACTTAAGTATATTTTGGTCCTGACTGTGTTAACAGACAAAGTGAGTTGGTGTAGTGTATCAATTATGCCAATGGTTGTAAGTAGGCCATGTTAATAAGTAAACTGGTAAGAAACTTCTCTTAGCATATTTTTTAAGTCAAAAGGTTGAAGTAGGCATGACTAGAGAAACCATCCTAATCATTAATGCAAGCACTTAGACCAATGCCTGCAGAAGGATATTCTTTAATGAATTATTGTTAAAATTATTTGGTGTTGTTGCTGTACCGGTTGTTATTTGTTAAAACTACAGGCAGCTTGGGCAACTTGTTATTTATTTGAGCAGCATTTCCTAGTTGAAAGATAGATTCATATTTTAGAGATGCCTCATGATTTGTCTCCATTGTTAAATTCAGCTTCTTTCTGCTGTTCTATTGTTCTTATGACTGACAAATTGAGATGCAATCACAGAGAAGACTGCCACAGAAGATTCGTAACAAAATCAACATTGGCTGTATATTATTGGTATGTTCTAATCCTTTTATGATTGAAACATTTTAAATGGAAACAATCTGTTTGGTTGAGACAAGTGGGCATCTCTGTGATAGTTGACAAAGGTTTACACTTTCTAATTATTAACTTTGCATATAACAGAAAAGATTCCTAGTATGTTTTTGTTATTTCTTCACTGCTTTAACAAGCTATATGTTTTCTTCCTTTTTCTTTTCTTCAGTATCAAATTCATATTATAACTTTTAAACAGGCAACCCATGTACACTGGTAATAAATAAAGGACTTTAAAATGATATCTGGAAGATCCAACTCTTTACTATTTCAATCATTAATGGGAGAATCTTGAACCTGAATATCTGGTATTTTACATTCTCGAATTTTGTTTGTGCTTCTGAACTGATCAATAAATGAAATGATAGAATAAGCAAACTTTCCTCATATTGTCTAAACCTCCTTGACCCTTCAATTGGCAAGTGATTCTATAGCCAGTATGCGGAATAACAATAGACCTTAATGATAATAACAATGTTGTTAAAAGTGTTTAATTGATTAATATTGCAGTGAAAGTTTTCAAACTTTTGCTAACTCGTTGTTATGTAGACAGTGACAAATTGGTTAATCTGCTCCATCTTTTTCAGTTTTTGGAATGAGTAATCTATAGTAGGATGGGATTATGGGGTGTATGGGTATCATTTAACTGATTCTTTGCAATCAAAGATTCTGTTACATGTATTGTAAAACATTTATAGGTTGACTTTGTTGTAGCTTCGGTAAACTCATTATTATAGGTTTACTTTAGCAATTGAAGAATATTCTGTTTTAAGGTTTACATAATATATTGTAAAACACTAAAAAAGTTTTGGCCAATTAGCCAGAGGTTTACTGAAGCTATCTTTTCTACTATATAAGCTAAAATAAAATGAGCCATCTATACAAAAAAAAAAAAGAAACAAAAATTTGAACTATCGGAAACTTTCTAAGACACGCATCCCAGTTGGCCTCAAGATATTAATATTCTTAATTAGTATAAATATATGTCAAACACATAATAGATATAGGTATAGGTTGGCTAAATTATAATTGCTGTTAGTCTTAGTACTTAATCAACCTCACCTGCCTGTCTAAACTTGTTGTATCCTTTCACAAAAAGATAGTCTCCTTTTTTAATATTTTATTTGATGCAGTTGATTTTTTTTTTTTAGGCAATTTGTGAAAAGAAAGGTTAGGTAGGTTGGGGCTCAGGGTTTCCAAACATTTTGGATGAAATGTTTGTGATTGTGAAAGCTTGACCTTGAGCATTGGGAATGCCATGGAATTTTTTATAACACAGAAAACAATCATGGTTTTCATGAAAGGCTCAATGAGGATATTGCATTCTCATTTTGCATGGTTCTTTCCTTGAGAAGGGTAAACTGTTCATTTACTGAGTTGGAATTGTTACTCTCTAGTCTGTTGCATTAGAATTCCTTTTTCATGCATATATACTTATTAGAGTTCAGAAGTACGGACATGAGAAATGAACTAGAGTATGCATCTCAACCAGTGAACCTTACCGTGAAAGCATGCAATGCCTAACTAAAGAAAACTAAACTTTTCAGGTTTTCTTGCCGGAGGGTGTAGACTTATGGTGTTTCTTGCATTCCTTGAAGTCTATATACATTTGCTTGAATATCAAATCATATTGTGCTTTTTAGCAGGAAATGAAAAGGCTGGAATTTGTCATGCACATCTGTCTTACAATATGGAGAATAAACCGGCAGTCGGCTGACAGGATAGTTGATGTATGATTTTACCTTTGGTCTTACCATTATCAATCAGTTGATTTTTAACTCGAGCAATGAGGGGTGAGAAACTTGAAAGTGCAAGCTGACTAAAGCTTTTGTAATGTTTGTTAGTCAAGAACAAGGTATCTTCAGTTTTGTAGTATGATTTGTTTGGCTGTATGTTACTTCCTTGACAAACCAACATATGTAAATAATGGAATACTTCTGTAACAAATGAATCATCCAAGCTAGGTTACCGAAAATAAGCACTAAAAGTTGGAGTAGATTGCAAGTCACGTTCATCATCTTTACAGTAACATCTCATTTTTATCCATAATTTTTAAAATTAAATATTTAAATCCGTTATCGTTTAAAAATATTTTAAATTCACCGGTTCCGTCAATTTAAAATATAATGAAATTTGTCATTTTTGTGTCACATGAATGTCCATACAGATGTCCAAGCAAATGATGACAAGAAAAAAATCCTTAGATTTGGGGTTGGAACTTTTGTCTAGCAGATATGTACGAGGTGGCATTTTCATTGAAATTTTAATTATGATTAACGAAATAGCTGAATTTAGTATATTTTAAAAATATCTTAGATATAAAAATTGAGTTTTCAAAATTGTGAATTAAAATGAAATATACACGTCACTTATGATTGGAGAATTTTAATATTTCAAGATTATCTACAAAATTATAGTCACTTTCTTCTACTATTTACAATTTAATCATATCTCTACTTAATTCCCAATTTTCACATAATTTTTTATTTAAATTATCACGAGCAATGCTCTTTAGTCCAGCTAATCTCATTCAAACTGCTTCTTTTATTTGCTTTACAATCTGTTATCCCTTATGCTCCTTTGCCCTATAAACTCTCTTGTTCCTTTCTGTCCGAATGTAGTTTATGTAGGCTTCTCATGCTAATATGAGAATGACTGATATCAAAGACTTTCCCCGTAGTTTTTTTATTGCCTAATACAATTTATTCTTCCAACTAGACTTGTTTAAAGATTGGGTTATTTGTCCAAATTTGAGGTTTGCTCAAAGTTTAGGAGGGCTTGAAGAATAAATTAAAGCCTCTTAAATGAGTGTAAACATAATTTTTAAATTTGTTTAAATTTTAAATCGAGCCTTGAATAAGAAAATTAAAATTCGAGCTCGGCTCGACTTGAATAAACTATATATAATTAAAAAAAATTATACTTATATAAGTTTATGTATATATATATATATATATATATATGAATTTTTATTTTATATTTTATTTAAAAAATATTTTTTAAAATTTTTATTATATAAATTAAATTTAATGAATTAGTTTGAGATTTATTATTTTAATTTGAATCAAGTTTGAAAAAATTTTAAGATCTGAAATATTAATTAAATCTAAGTAAATATATAAATTATTAATATCAAGTATGGATTTGACTCAACTCGCGCGACGTATGAACACCTCTACCCCCGACCAGCAACTTATTTTCTCAAGCTGCACAAATCCAGTACTTGCTTCCGCATGTTTTCTGAATACCTGCAACTAAAAAACATGTGATCTCTATGCTCCATTTCCTGCCTGCATAGCAAACAGGCCCCATCTGTAGAGATACTACATGCGGTCAGTCTATCCTTGGTTGGAAGTCTATTGAGGATTGCCATCTAGGTTATAACGGCATGCTTAGGTATTTGAAGCTTACACCAAACCAGCCTGTGCCAATCACTTTCTCTTCCCTTGCCCGTATCCCATCCCAAACTAGAGCAATAGAATACCTAATTCCCTTTTGGCACCAAACTAGTCCATTATTAGTATGCACTAAAGGCAAAAAGCATCTGGGAGATGCAAATCACCCCAAGCTTAAGCTAAAGCATGAATAAGTGCTGCAGATGAGAGGCATTGCCACTAAGTTTCCATTTATTTTTAAGCGTGTATTAATATCTTTTTTCTATTTTATGTTTATTTTAATAATTTTTTATTTTTTAAAATAAAAATTACTAAATATCAATATTATAAAAAAATAAAATACTTAACTGAAAATTTAACATTATTACTTTTTTTACTTGATTTTTGTACCAAATCATACTCAAACTAATTTTTTTTTAAAGGTACAAGGAAGTAAATATTTGGATCGTAAACTTTAATGTTTAATCTTTTTTATAAAAAATAATTATTATTATGGATTCATTTGAGAGTCCAATCCAAAGATTCATATTGTATTAGAAAAGTGCATTTTATAGTTTGATTTATAAATCAAATCTAAGTTGTTATATATAAAAATTAGATTATGCTAAGATTAACACAAAAATATATAAAAAAAATTGCACAATGACAACAGTAGAGATGTCAATATTAATATTTTTATTTAAATTTAATTTTAAAATATATTTTAAATATATATAACTAAAAAAACATACTGCATTTCACTGCAAGATATTACTTGAAAACTCATTTTATATATTTTACATGTTTAATGTAATTTAAAGTATTTAAAAGTTATTAGGGCATTTATGGTTATATTTGGTGTTGCATATCTTATTGGTGTTTAGAGAGTAGTTGATATGAACCTATGTTATTTCAATTTATAATAACTTTTGGTTATTGAGATATTATGAATTCATATTTGATTTTGATGGTTAAGATTTCTGTTCTTTAGTTCTCGTATTCTATCTTTCCCTCCTATTTCTTCTAGTTTTTCCCTTTCGCCTTTTTCTATATTATCTATTTTCTAAGTATCTCTTTTCCTTGCTTACTCTACATAAAAAATACAGCAAAAAGGAAAATGCAAAGACTTCATGTTGTAGATTAGTCGCATATGCTTAGAGTAAACAATTGTTATAAGCTCAAAATGCATACGAACATAGATATTAGAATAGAATCAAGTTCGCATACCAAAAAACTAATAGAACAAACAAAAGAGAATAACCAGGCATTAGTCCATTAACTCATAATGTCTTCGTAAAGTGAAAAATATAGCTTATTTTTTGACATTAAAGCAAATTACTATGAAAGTATTTGTGGGCAAATACTTAGTTACAGCTGGCTATAATTTATAACCCTAGAATTAAGTATGTTGTAATATGTATCCCTAGAATTAAGGACAAAAAATTGGGATAGACAATCCCTTAATTATAGGGATCAGTTTTATGAAGATTTATTTCTTATTTTACCTTCTAATTAGCTGTATATAAACTTAAGGTGTCTGTATAATTCAACAAACAAGTTTTTCTATATACTCTCATTTTTTTCATATGGTTTTTAGAGTTTTAGGCATTTTTTGGAAAGAATTTTTTTTTAGCCTTTATTGCCTAGAATTATCTCTAGTTAAATCTTTAATATCAAAATTGTTTAGTTATGAAAAAGATAACCATGTTAGAGATAGCAAAATCTACCACTACTACCCGTTTTGAGAAAATGACAACTGGTCAAACCATGGGATAACTATAAAATATCTAAGTTGTGTACAAATTGAATGGAAAAACTACTTGAAGTGGTCTCAGTTGGTTCACACCTTTATAAAAAGGAAAGAAAATTGAGTAATCATTTTAGTACCGATCCTGAAAAAAGAGATATAAAATTTGAGACTTTGGATGAAAAGGATTCCATGGTTATGTCATTGCTCAAGTCTATGAGATAAAAATCAAGATGGCAACTATTAAACAGAGGAATAAGTCAATCACAAAGTATGCTATTCTTTTGAAAAATCTTTGGCAAGAGATAGACCACTATCGGTGCATAGAGATGAAGTGTAATGAAGATGTAACTAGGGGTGTAAACAAATAGAGTTTTCAATGAACTGTTCATGAACATGTTCAGTTACTATTCATTTATATTTGTTTATTAAGCTTAATAAATGATCTTGAATAATATTTTTTATATTTGTTTATTAAATGAACCAAACACGAATAAAGGTCTGTTTAGTTCATTTATATTTGTAAACAAGCTCGTTTAATGTTCGTGAAAAAATTTGATTATAATTTGTTTAAAATATTAAAAGTCGATTATTTTAAGATTTAATATCTTTTATCTACAAATTATCATATAAAATTTATATCATTAAAAATTATACATAACATAGATCAAAATAACTTTTAACTTTTTAAAAATACTATTACTAAATAACTCTTTTTATATGCTTAAAAATTGGATAATATCTTTGAATGATGTTTGAAAGAATAGAAACCTATTTTTAGCAATCCTACATTGGCATAAGAATCAAACCAAGGGATGGGTAAGTTTATAAATTCCTATCTCATTCCTCTGCTACACATTTGTGCATATACAAATAAATCTTACATCACTTAAGAACCAAAATAAATGGTGGATAAAGTCTATAAATTTCCATCTTTTCATCTGTCGCACATCTGTGCATATATAAATGAATCTTACATCACTTAAAAACCAAAACAAAGGATGGGTAAATACTAATGTTGCAAATATAAAAGCAGGCAAGCCAATCCATCAATTGGCTGTGGGTGATGGATTGGCTTTGGGTTATAGTAAGCATTAAGTCCATTTATTAGGACTTAAAGCTAGAGTTTGTTTATGTTCGACAAAAGCTTATTAAAAATAGTCGAACTAAGTTCAAACACATGTTATCCAATTCATTAAGAGCTCGTTCATTTATAAACTTAGTTATTATTAATCAAAATGAGATTGAACAAGGGAGAACTTAGCTTGACTCAGTTTATTTACAACCCTAGATGCAGTAACTTTGAAAAAGTTTATTAAAAAAGATCGAGTCTATGATTTTCTTACTAGACTTAATGTTGAGTTTGATTAAGTTAAAGTTTAAATTTTGAGAAAAAAAAGAGCTATCTTTTTTAAATTAAGTGATTTTTATAGTTAAAGCAGAAAAAAGCAAAAGAAGAATGATGCTTGCCAGCCTGCATATAAAAGGATATGCTATAGTGTCTAATGATAGGAACAACCAAATCTTGGAATAATTACTAGTTAGTTACAAAAGGAAAAGTGACTTGGCTAAAACCTCAAGTTGTGACAATCTTTGGTGCACCTATTGCAAGAAGTCAAGGCACACTAGAGATTGTTGTTGGAAACTAAATAGAAAGCCTTCAACTTTAAGTAAAGAATAGGGTTATAAAAAAGGACAGCCAAGAAATCAAGGGCAAGTTCAAATGACTGCAATGAGTCAAACTAGAAGAAGTTTTGGGAAAAAAGAGAGTTGGACAGAGAAGATATTGAAAAAATGAGAAGCCTATTGGAAAGCCTTGAAAGGCCTACCAATGTATGTTTTTTAGCACACTTAGGTAAGGTTTCTAGTTAAATAAAATCTCTAGTTCTTATGGATTAAATGTTTCGGATAAGTCTATTACGAGTTTTTTGGTCATTGACTCAAGAGCCATAAACCA